GAGAGGGATAGGGAGGGGGGGGAGAGCAAGAGAGAAAGGGAGAGGTGTACTTGTTTCTCCTCTGAAACACGCCTCCTATCTGATGTCTCTCTCTTTCTCTCTCTCTCTCTCTCTCTCTCTCTCTCTCTCTCTCTCTCTCTCTCTCTCTCTTTGTCCGGGCGGGCTTCATCACTGCGCTGATCGTGGTGGTGGTGGAGCCCCGCTTCCCCGCCCGCCCGCGGACACCTGTTACACTCACCGTGTTGATGTAGTTGTAGAGGCTGAGTCCGTCGTCCCAGGGCCGCTCCAGCTCGCAGGACAGGTTGGAGGAGCGCAGCGCGAGCGACTGCGGCGGCTGCGCGACGGGCTGCAGCGGCGACGGCCCGTGCACCGAGGCCGCCTCCATGGCGAGCAACCCGCGCGCGAACACTTGCACCGAGTCGTACATGAGCGCGGGCTCGGCCTACAAGACAAACACACACAATTAGGAATTTTATAGGCCGGAAATGTATTTTTGAAAATTTTCAACGATTTTTATTTTATTTTTTTCCGAGAAGTTTCAATTTTGTTCGATTTTTCTGATTTTTTTTCATTTCTTCCATTATTGTTCTGGAAGAGTTGTCAGCATTTTGTTGCTGTGCACTTCTCACCTGGATGATTCCGCTCGTGTTGATGATCTGGTGGCCGATGGGCGCGAAGCGCTCCATCTGCCGCAGCGCGTCCCGGACGCCCGTGTCGTCGGCGTCCACGAGGCGGAAGGCCGTCATGTTGACGTTATTGTAGCTGAAGTCCTCTAGGTCGAGCGTTTCCATGTCCTGCACGTGCGTGTGCACATAAATAAAAAGTTTTTGCTTACGTCGATTTTTTTTTTTGTCGGTGTAAAGTTTATTTGTGTTTGCGCGCGTCGTGTTGTACTCCTTGTAGTCACACTACGGGAGCGGGTGACTTGATAAAGGTCTCGGCTGGCTGCCTTCACAATGCGCCCCTCACCCCTCACCCTCACCCCTATCTCCCTCTCTTTCTCTCACTCCTTCTCTCTCGCTCGCTCTCTTTCTCTCTCTCTCTCACACACGCGCACACGTGCCTCTCATGCTGAACGCAAACTTTTGTTTGCCGCGCTCCTGCTCGGCGAGGGAAGGATTGCCCTGAGAATGTTTGCCGACGAGCGGTCGAAGTAAATTCAGCGTGCCCAGAGAACATCATGGTCAGAGCAAGAGAGAGAGAGAGAGAGAGAGAGAGAGAGAGAGAGAGGGAGGGAGGGGAACTAGGGGAGAGAGTGCGGAGACGAGGGTCGGGACAAGGGGAAGGGGGCCGGGCAAAGTTTGTGTGTCGCCGGTACTTACGAAAGTGGTGAACATGTAGTGGTAACGGTAGTCGTTCATCTGCAGCTGGAGGATCTGGGCCACACACACACACAACACAAAGTGTCACAGTCAGTTTGCAGTCGCGGCGGTGTGAAGTAGTGTGCGAGCTCGACATGTGAGCCCGGCCTGCCTCTCCCATATAGACTCACCGCTCTGAAGAAGTTGTGCATGTGCCGGGGGTTCGTGTCCACGATGAGCTTGTAGATGTCCTTCTGGCGGATCTCGCGCAGCACCTGCCGGTACGTCGCCGGGGTCGTCTGCCGGATGTACATGTCGGTGCGGGCACTGGGCGGCGACTTGACAAGCTCCTGGAGCTTAAACAGGCCTGCAACCCCCACAAAAAAATGAGGCCATCAAAAAAAAAATTAATGGGGGCTGGAAATTTCCTAAACTTTCCGGAAAACTTTCGGGTAGTAACCAAAATCTTTCAAAGTCTGAGAAATTTTCCGTTTCTTCCTGAAATTTTCCGGCAACCTTCCAAGGCTTCCAACCCTTATAATAATAAATGACCACATCTTTTGCAATTTCAATGTTAGGAAATTATTTTTTTTAAAGTGCACTTAAAGAAGATTGCAGCAGCTTTTGCACATAGTCGAAATAGGCTACTTTGGTTGAACTCTCAATCAGTATGTGAATGGCAAGAATGGGCGCCGCATACTGTCGCGAATCCTGTGACGGTGCACTGGAAATGCAAGTGTGTGACATTATTTACAGGTTGCAGATCAGATCTCGGCCGCTAGGTTTTGGCGTAGCCGCAGCAGCAGCCACCGCCGGCTGCCACAGCGCTCCTATGCCCAAACCCGCCCGCCCCTGATGCGTGTGGTGTTCCTGTGGCCCGCCCCGCCCCGCCCCGCCCGGCCAAGTCGATGGAAACCGCATCAATCAGCTACAGAGACTACTACACGTCAGCCCAGGACGGGCTAAAGTTACGCAGCCTTCTTATACACTGCCGCACAAAACAATTTGGGACTTTTGCCCTCGGCCCTTTTTTTTCACGTGAAGGGAGCGAAAAACTAAACGCGGAACCACACATGATAAACTGTAATGGGTTGCGATACAAAATATACACGGTAAAAACGACGTCCTGGTTTTCATGACGTTTGGAAAACCATGACGTTTCCCTTGCATTTCTGCCAAAAGACGTGATGGAAATCAGGACGTCGTTTTTACCGTGTATGTATTCCCGTTTAAAATTGCGCGGTACGTAAACTACCCACGTGTGATTTACTTTCTTATGTGTGCGTTTAATCTGAAATTGCTAGACGCGGAAAGTGCTTTTGCTTTCGGTTCAAGGAAATTTGAGGTTTAGAAAACTTTTACTTAAATTAAAAGAAATAAAGTTACGTTCACTCGACGAAAAATGTCCCCAATTTGGGGGAATTTTTTTCTCTCGAATTGATGGAGAAAGTTTTCTAATCCTCAATTTCGGACGAAATTTCCTTGAATACAAAGAAACCATTTTTTGGGTGGCGCCATTCCGACTCCGTCCACTACACACGTCTCGACGCGCTCACCGTGCTCCTGCTCGTAGACGATGGCGACGCGGGTCCAGTTGAGGAAGGTGATGAGGTCCTTGAAGGCAGTGTTGATGAGGTGCTGGCTCGGGTGCAGGTTGACGGAGAACTCGCGCGTGTGCGGCTCCATGTCGAGGCGCGCTTCCAGGTGGGGGACGTCCAGCGCCTCGCAGATGCTCTGGATGTGCGCGCCCAGCAGCGGGTCCGTCGGCCCGAACACGGCCTGCACGCCCATCTCCATCTGCCGGCACACTGCAAAAAAGACAAAACGAAGCAAACGCGGTCAACAAAAGAAGGATAGTGAAAGGAAAACAATGGCGAAGAATTGTTGAAAACCATAGTATGGTGAAAAAGAACGATGGTGTAAGAGAAACAGCAATGGTAAAGAAACAATATGGTGAAAAAATATCGAGGTCAAAAGAGCAATGGTGAAAAACAATGTGGTGAAAAATAATGGTGAAAATACTGCCAAGACCGTATTTTTAGTTAGAATTACAACATTGCCCACTATAAAATTTGACAATTTTCTTCATTAAATAACACAGTAAAAAAATAAAATTAACTTATTGCAGCTCCAAACTGCTCGTGAAATTTATTTACAAACGTACAAAAGAAGAGGGAAAAGAAACGGACATTAAATCGTAGCTGGACGCCTGGAAAGGGAAAGAAAAGAGGTGTATACAGTGGCCTGCCCACACTAATGATGACGAGGGTTCCTTGGGATAGCGAAGGCGAAAAGGGACTTCTGAAATTGTAGACGAAACGAGACTAAAAGGGGGAGTGCGGCACACCGCACTGTGTGAGTATAAGGGAGAGGTTAGAGTGAGGTTAGGGAAAGGAGGGTGATGGTAGTGGTGGTTTGGGGGAAGGGGGGGGGGAGTTGGCTAGGTTGCTGAAAGGCGCGCCGTCTTGTACCACACCGAGGCGGGCGCGCAAGGGCGGGCGTACGCTCTCAAGTCAGTCCCAGCGGAGAGAGCCAATGTCTAATTCGAAAATGCGCTTATTAACGCTTCGTTAGCTTCCGCCCCCCCTCCCCCTCCCTTCCTTGCCCCCGTCCCAGGCCCAGCGCCGCCGTACTACAGGCTAGCCACCCCCGACCCCTCCCCCAACCCCACCTCGCCCCGCGGCCGCCTGGGTCGTTTGAGCAAGAAGGCACAAACGCGGCAAAGCCAGGCCGCCAGCGCAGCCGCACCGCACGGTGGAGGCCTGGCGGGGCAGGGGCGGCAGGGACGGGGGAGCCAACTCGGTCGCTCGTCAAATTTATGCTTCATCAGCGGGTACGGGCGCTCTGCTGCACTCCTCTCTCTCTCTCTCTCTCTCTCTCTCTCTCTCTCTCTCTCTCCAACTCTTCTCACATGAAGCATATCCCCCCAAATGAACCAAGCATGCTCAACCGGGAAATAAACACTTGTAAAGCACTACAGAAAAGTCTTTACAAAGGAATTATAAGATTTAGCACCCAAAGGCATCAACACTTCTCTAAAGGTACTAAAATGTAATGCCTATGTGGACAAATTTGTGCCTGCACAAAAAAGGCATCAACACTAGAACAGACCATAGAAAGGCATTAAGTCCTACTTTTGATTTTCAGTTAGAATGCAACTGCAAGTTAAACAGTCGCAACTCCATCGTCGTGCACTTGTAGGTGTGCAACTCCACCGTTTAACACGCCAAGGGACGGACGCTGCGCATATGGAAAGTGTTCAACAGTTCAGCAGAGTTGCACTCCAACACAACCTTCTTTTTTTTCTTTCTCTATTTTTTTTTTTTGTCAAGAACGACTTCTGACAGATCGGGTTCGCGGGTTCCAGTTTTTGGCTTTTGCCCCAAACTCTCGCAGCTATCCCCCTCCCTCCCCCCCCTCTCCTCCTTCACGATGGAACTAGCCTCCATAAATATCTCGACTGAAAACCACTCCAGATGCGCGGCACGTCCCCGGTGTTGTTTCCCCCTAAATAAATTATTGCAGTCAGGACAGAACGGTGAGAGAGAGGGAGAGAGAGAGGGAGAGAGAGAGAGAGACAAAGTGAGAGAGACAACAGCGAGAGGGAGAGAGAGAGAGAGACAGACGAAGGGAGCGTAGAGGGCGGTAGTCGGGCGCGGGAGTTTTAAGTAAGCCTTAGGAGAATCACAAAGGATGACAAAGGATAGGGTGACAGTGGTCCGGTCTGGACGGGACAGTGGGCAGAGAGAGAGAGAGAGAGAGAGAGAGAGAGAGAGAGAGAGAGAGAGGATACGCTGTTAAAGTGACAAACTTAAAGCTTAACACTAGAAGGACCGGAGGGGTCAAAATGACCCCTTTTGATCTTTAATTTCCAAAGGAACTACGAATTATTTTTTTGAGCGATTCATCACTTTCCGACTTTTCATGTACTAACGAAAGACGCTTGGACGCAAAATAGGAGGTCTCTGCGACAAGAACTTTTGAAGATATTACTACTTATACCTAGAAGGACCGAGGGGGTCATTTTGACCCCTTCACGAGATTTTATAAGTGTAAACTGACGAGGACTTACTTTTCCATCATAAGGCTGACCGTATTTGTTATGTACGGTGGCTTATGACTTTTGGTCGGCCATGTGACACTTTTTAACTCCTTAATTCGGGGAAGGTAGGCAACACGCACGTCACAAAACCCCGTTTTTAAATTACAACACATCCAAGGTTTTAGTGGTAGTTGCGTCACCGGACTCGCGTTCTGATGGCAAAGAGGGGCGTCTAGCACAAAGTACGTATGGTTTTGCGAATGCCAAAACTGCCACGCACATTGTTGTCAGTGCCAAATTGGTAAAAAATAAAATGTTTCTGTGTGAATCACACTCCCGCTTTTAGAGTACGTATGTGTTCTAAAGATCACGTACTTATAAATGTGAACTAAGTCGGATATTTATTTTAAAGTTTAAAAATGTCTTAAATGGTGCGAACAATTAACAGAAATAACTGTAAAATTGCAAAAAAGTTGTTTTATGCCGTGCCGGTTGCCTACCTAAACGCACTTCAAACCTAACCAATGTCACTTCATGGCATCAGGTACCTTAAAACACACAACACCTTACTCATGTGCGATAAAACGGCGGCCTTGAAGCCATAAAAACGGCCAAAAATAGTAGAGGGGTCAAAATGACCCCTCCGGTCCTTCTAGGTATATGAAAATCCCGGTCCTTCTAGTGTTAATATAATTTATTTATTCACGAGATGAATTATCACGTTTACTGAATGAAATGAAGTGATAAAACAAACTTGTCATATGTGACAACATGGAAACGAAAAAGGGACCGTCCAAAAAGTACATCTGATTTGTTCGGTGAAGTAGGAGCTCGGCGCCTGCGAGACTCGGGGTAGGCCATCCCGCAGTGCATGCATGCATTGCAGGCAAGACGTTGCCTACCTAGCGGGCGCCATAGGAGTTGGGACGGGCTGAACCTGAACTGGGCAGGTTTACAACGGGCGAATTACGGACGTACCGCCTGGATGATTCCGACAGAGATAAATCGTGAAGTGATGGCTGGTACGTATTTTCACATTTCAGGCTACAATCATTATATGCAATCATTATTCAGCAAAAGTCAGGCCAAGTTATACATCGACCGTACGGCAATAATTATAAAACTTGCAACAAATCAGCGTGGTCATCCCCCGCCCCATCCCAACAAAAAAAGGAAAAACAAAAGCAAACCGGGGCTGGTGATTGCACGTCTTGCATTTCCCGTCTTAATCCTGCTTCATTAATCTCTAAAATCCATTTTTACCGCGCGAAACGCGCAACACAAATAAAAAACCGCGGACCGCGTGATTTCTCCCTTTAGCCTGAGCCACATTTTTAAGCAGCAGTAGCGGCAGCGGCATAAGGGATGGGTCGAGGAAAATCTTTCCGACCCTTAGAGAGCAGCGGCCCCCTGATGGAATGTTTTTATTTTTTTTTTCTCTCCACACAATTCCTTCTCTTTCTCTTCCCTGCTCAGGCGGGTGGTTGCGGCGGGCTGCGGTGGCCGGGGCGGGGCCAGGCCGGCGCCAGCGCCGTGCTCGGGTGGACGCCTACGAGGGCGCCTTCTGCCTCCCCAGGAGGACGCGCGCGGCACCGCGCCAACGCCAACGGCCGCCAGCGACCCAGAGCGCCATGATGCAGCCGCAGTGCATTCATAACTTGCGCGTTATCATATCACACCTCCCTTTTTTCGGAGGATTTAAGAATAAAAAAAAATTCAAAAGAGCAGACGCGGCGCACGGTAAAAATGACCTCTTGGATTTCAAGAGATCTACTTGGATTTCAAGACAGTTTCCAAGGAATCTACTTGAATTCCAAGATGTTCTTTTTACCGTGCGCGCATGCTTAGCTAAAGGGATTTGTAAAAGCATGGTGTGGGGGGTGTCGCAGGCCCCATTAGGAAGTCGTTAACTTTATCATAACCATTATTTTTTGAATTATTATTATTGCTTGTTAAGACGACGAAAGTTTACGAACAATAATAATGATAATAACAATAATAATCGAAAAGTGGAGGGGATGCCAGGAAAGACAAATCACCAAAACTGCACGAGATCACACAGAGGCGGGAGGGAAAGGGAGGAAGAGGGAGCGAGAGAGAGAGGGAGAGAGAGAGAGAGAGCAAGAGAGAGAGGGGGGGGGGGAGGAGCAGGCATTTATCACGCGAGGGAGCGCCTTCCTAAGGGTGTTATGAGTGCGATGGTTCGCTTTTTTTTTCAATGTTGAAGCATCTCGGGCAGCCCCCCCCTCCCCCACTCTTCCGCCGGGCCCGCTGCACCCCGCTACGGACCATTAACCTCCCCCCAGCCACACAGCAGGCTGCTGTTGTGTTACTGTTGTGTTGGACTGTACATATCGCAGCGCGGCCCGCCAGGAGGGGGGAAGGGACCTTTCTGAAGGGGTCATGTGTAAAAGATTTTGCATGACCTACATTTTTGTATGACCTACACTTTTGTACGACCTACATTTTTGTGAGACATTGAAGCAAAGTATTATTTTGCATCGTTTGTAATATGTTGGTTCCAGTGTCGTGTGTTTTTTTTTTGTTTTCTTCGTTTTCAATTTCCACTATTCTCATTCGTATGGAAGTGCATGGTTGTTTTGGTGTCTGGTGTCCGTGCGTGCGTGCGTGCGTGCGTGTAGTGTCCTGTAACTCCGGCTCGGGTCCACCACACGTTTCCACGTAGACCGGAGGGATCTGCAGCCAGCAGGGGAGGCTGCCAGCATCATTAGACAAGTTGGACGATGAGTCGAGGTCAGGTTCCAC